CCGTTGCGGCGCGGGAGTACCGGTCAGGGTGCGGGCTACGTGGACGTGCAGGAGACGCGCTGGGGCGACATTGCCGGGCTCGACGCCGTGAAGGCGACGCTGCAGCGGCTTGTGCCGCGCCCGCTGCGGTCCACCGCGACGTACCGCCGCTTCGGGGTTCGTCCCTCGACGGGGGTTCTGCTCTACGGGCCGCCGGGCACCGGGAAGACGATGCTCGCCCGCGCCATGGCCACGGAGCTGAGCGCCTCCTTCGTCTACATCGACCTGCCGCAGTTGATGCAGGCGGAGGTTGGCGAGTCGGAGCGGCGGCTGCGGGAGTTTTTTGACGCGGCGCGCGAGCGCAGCCCCGCCGTGATGTTCATCGACGAGCTGCAGGCCGCTTTTGGGGCGCGGCGCGGCAGCGGCCCGGTGAGTGGAGGACGAGGTGTATATTTTTCACTGGCTGGGAAAACTGTTTCCGATGGGTGTTGGTGGAGGGTGTTGTTTGCGTGCAGCGTGCGGGGAGAACACTCCAACACGCACGCGGTGCGGAGGTGCCGCGATTCCGTTGATTTGGGCGGCGGCGTTGGGGGGAAGTGGGCAGCGGAGTGCAGCAGCGGACTGCGTTTCTACGGAAGTGCTGGAAGGGACTATTTTTTAAAAATATATATTTGTGTGTTTGTGTTTGTTTACCTGCGGGCACGAGGCACAGCCGGCGGGCTGCGCTGCTGCGGGGAGAAGGAGGCGCCGTGCCCCGTGGCCTTGCGGCAGCCGTACTGTTTTTTGGGTTCACGTTGTGTTTCTCCCAAATGCCGTGGCACCGCCAAAGACGTCTGCGTGGGGCGGGGGCGGAATGAATTTTTTTTCGTGCGGCCGCGGGACGCCGCTGCGTGAACTTCGTGGGCTGCCGCCTTTTTCTTCCTTCCCTCTCCCTGCCCTCACTCTCTGCGCCGCACCCCACCGCGCTCCCCATTTCTCTCTCTGTTTCTTCTTCGCCGCTGCCCCGCAGCCCACTGGCTCCGCGGCGACGCTACTGCCACCACCACCACTGTTTTTACTGATGGCGCTGACGCTGCGGCGCCGTGCGGTGTGCGCCCTGGCGCTCCTCGCGCTGCTCTGCGGCTGCTGCGCTTCGTTTGTGTGCGGTGCGAATGCTGAGAAGGAGGTGGATGTACCGGTGGAGGTGTCGTGCCCGGACACTAACGACAACAAGTTGCGTTGGCGCGTTGCCGGCAAGGGTCGCTCGGAGTGGAAGGAGTGTCCGCAGGCAGTGACGGATGCGGGGAGCAGTGACAGCGCTGCTTACAGTAATACCCTCTGCTTCGTGGCCGGATCGGTATTCCTGGGGAACTTCACGACGGGGGGCTGCTCTCCATCCACCACAGATGGGGGCACAAATGAAGTTGTTGTGTTCACGATGAACTGTACGGCGGCCGCAAACAGCGCGCTGCACAAACTGTCGAAGAGCGAAAATGTCACCATCAGTCCAACGGACAATCCACTCGGCGGGTCCGGTGATTGCAAGCTCCCAACCCCCAGCCAACCCGCGGCAGAAGTGGACTCTGAACTTCAACCGCAGGGGCAACAGCAACCAGCCCACCCACCACAACAACAACCGGCAGGTGCGGCAGCAGCGTCACCTTCGGCGCGAACTCATGACGGAGATCGTACGAGGAATGGAGGCTCCACTGCTGCTGTTGGGGAGCAGCCACACAGTGGGGCGAGAGGCGGAAGTCAGGAACCATCGGCAGAAGTTCCTCGGGAAACTACAACTCCATCGGTTGGCACAGCGGCTACGCCAACACAGACGGCAGGCGACAGGGCAGCAGATGGAACGACGACGACGACCACCCGCAGTCCGAGTGATGGGAACGACGCGGACAGCAGTGCCAACATCGCCGCTGCGTGGATGCGTGCACCTCTCATGCTGCTGCTCACGGCTGCCCTTGCCTGCGCCGCTGCGTAGGTGGTGAGGTGCTAAAGATACACACACCCACACACCCTGACATGGACGACGCGTACGCTTTGTGCGCTAATTTTGCTTGTCGTCCCTGTGGGACAATACTTCTCCCTCCTGT